CACCCCCAATCTTATTGTAAATGCTTATCCCCATTACATATAAGGCTTGTTGGTGGTTTTAGGTAGATGCTACTTATCATTTTAAGGAAGATTCCATTTATCCCTGTGCTCTCTAGTGTTTTTAATAGGAATGCATGTTGTATTTTGTCAAAAGCTTTTTCTGCATCTATTGAGATAATCATATGATTCTACTAATTTTGTTACTGATATGGTCAATTATGCTGACTCTTTTCCTAATATTGAACCAGCCCTGCATTCCTGGTATAACTCCGACCTGATCATAGTGTATTACCCTCAAGACAGTTGCTGTAATATCTTTGGTATTTAATTTAGATTTTTTTTTTGCATCTATATCCATTAATTAAATTGGTCTATAATTTTCTTTCTGTGTTTTGGCTCTTCCCGGTTTATTTATCAGAACCATATGTGCATCATAAAAAGAATTTGGTGGGACTCCTTCTTCATGTATTTTCCCAAATAGTTTGTATAGTGTTAGAATTAATTGTTCTTTAAATGTTTGATAGAATTCATTTGTAAATCCATCTGGCCCTGGAGATTATTTCCTAGGGAGTTCGATGATGGATTGTACAGTTTCTTTTGCTGAAATGGGGTTATTTAAGTATTTGATTTCCTCTTCCATTAATCTGAGCAATTTCTATTTTTGTAAATATTCATCCATTTCACTAAGATTGTCAAATTTATTGGCATACATTTGGGCAAAATAGTTCCTAATTATGTTAATTTCCTCTTCATTTTTGATATGGTAATTTTGTTTTCTTCTTTCTTTTTTTATCAAATTAACCAAAGGTTTATCTTATTGTTTTTTTTTCATAAAACCAGCTCTTAGTTTTATTTATTAGTTCAATAGGTTTTTTTTTAATGTCTATTTTGTTAATCTCTCCTTTGGTTTTCAGTATTTCTAATTTGATATTTAATTAGGGATTTTGAATCTGTTCTTTTTCTAGCTTTTTTAGTTGCATGCCCAATTCCTTGAGCTCCTCTTTCTCTATTTTATTCGTGTAAGCATTTAGAGATGCAAAACTTCCCCTAAGAACTGCTTTTGCTGCATCCCATAAGTTTTGGTATGTTTACTCATTTTTGTCATTCTCTTGGATGAAGTTATTGTTTCTATGATTTGTTGTTTGACCTACTCATTTTTTTGGATAAGATTATTTGGTTTCTAGTTAATTTTAGTGTATCTTTCCATAGTCCTTCATTATGTGTAATTTTTATTGTATCATAATCTGAAAAGGATGCATTAAATATCTCTGCCTTTCTGCACTGCATTGTGAGGTTTTTATGCCCTAATACATGGCAAATTTTGTGTAGGTGCCATGTGCTGAGGAAAAAAGTGTATTCCCTTCTAATCCTAATCCATTTTCTCCAGAGGTCTACCAAATCTAACTTTTCTAAAATTCTATTCACATCCTTAATTTCTTTATTGTTTATTTCGTGGTTATATTTATCTAGTTCTGAGAGTGTGAGGTTGAGGTCCCTCATTAGTATAGTTTTGCTGTCTATTTCTTCCTGTAATTCCCTGAACTTCTCTAAGAATTTGGATATATGTTTAGTAATGATATTACTTCATTGTCTATGGTGTCTTTTAGCAGGATGTAGTTTCCTTCCTTCTCTTTTAGTTAGATCTATTTTTGCTTTTGCTTTGTCTGAGATCAACATTGTTACCCCTGCTTTTTTTTTTCAGCTGCACCATAAAATATTCTACTCTAGCATTTTACTATTTACTAGCATTTTGCTACATTTTACTCTATGAGTATCCCTCTGCTTCAAATGTGTTTCTTGTAAAGAACATATTGCAGGATTATGGGCTTTAATCCACTCTGCAATCTGTTTGTTTTGTTTGAGAGTTTACCTGATTCACATTCACAGTTATGATTACTATCTGTGTCATTCTCTCCAACCTCTTTCCCCATTTACGCTTTTCTCTCTATATTCCCTCTTACTAGAGTTTTTCTTTTGTCAACCTCCTCTCTCAATCTGCCCTCCCTTCTATCAGCCCCCTCCCCTTTTCTTTCCCTCTTTCCCCCACTACTTCTTCCCTCCTTTCTATTCATCCCCTCCCTATTCTTTCCCCTTTTCCCTCCTACTTCCTATAGGGCAAGTTGATTTCTATACCTATGTTATTCCCTCCTTGAGCCAAATCTGATAAGAGTAATGTTCAAACAATGCTCATCTCCCTTCCTTCTTTCCCTCTACTGTAATAGGTGTTTGTGCTTCTTCATGTGATGTAATTTACCCTTGTCTGCCTCCTCCTTTCCTCTTCTCCCAGTGCAGTCCCTTTTCACCGCTTAATTATGTTTTTATCATCACACCAAAGTCATGCCCTCTGTCTATTTATACCTATTCTAAATGTCATATTAAAGATATAATTCTCAAGAGTTACAAGTATCATCTTCCCATGTAGGGATGTAAATAATTTGCCCTTATTGAATCGCATGTTGTTTTTTTTTTCCTTTCCTGTTTACCTTTTTGTGCCTCTCTTGATTCTTGTATTTGAAGAGCAAATTTTCTGTTGAGCTCTGGCCTTTTCATCAGGAAGGTTTGGAAGTCCCATATTTCACTGAATTTCCACCTGCTCCCTTGAAAGTTTATGCTCAGTTTTGCTGGGTAGTTGATTCTTGATTGAAATCCAAGCTCCTTTGCCTTACGGAATATCATATTCCAGGCCCTCTGATCTTGTAATGTAGAAGTTGCAAGGTCCTGAGTAATCTTGTGTTTCCATAATATTTAAATTGTTTCCTTCTGGCTGCTTGCAGTATTTCCTCCTTGACCCGATAATTCTGTAATTTGGATATATTATTCCTTGGTGTTTACAATTTGGAATCTCTTTCAGGAGGCATTTGGTGGGTTCTTTCAATGACTGTTTTACCCTCTGGTTCTAAGATCTCAAGGCAGTTTTCCTTGATGATATCTTGAAAGATGCTGTCCAGGATCTTTTTTTTTTTTTATGGCTTTCAGGTAGACCAATAATTCTTAAATTATCTCTCCTGGATCTATTTTCCAGGTCAGTTGTTTTTCCAATGAGGTATTTTACATTTTCTTCTATTTTTTCATACTTTTGATTTTGTTGGACTGATTCTTGATGTCTCATAGAATCATTAGCTTCCATTTGCCCAATTCTAATTTTTATTTGATTTTATTTTATTTTTTGGTGAGGCAATCAAGGTTAAGTGACTCGCCCAAGGTCACACAGCTAGTAAGTGTAAGAGGCTGTATTTGAACACAGGTCCTCCTGACTCTAAAGCCAGAGCTCCATTCACTGCACCGCCTAGCTGCCCCTCTAATTTTTAAACGAATACTTTTCTTCAGTTACCTTTTGTACCTCCTTTTCCATTTGGCCATTTCTATTTTTTAACAAATTGTTTTGTTCAGTGCATTTTTTTTTCCATTTTGCAAATTTTATTTTAAAGAAGTTATTTTCTACAGTCAATTTTTGTCCTTCTTTTTCTAAGCTGTTCACTATTTCTTTCATATCTTTTATATATTTTCCCAATTTTTTTTTCCATCTCTTGACTCTTAAAATCCTTCTTGAGCTCTTCCAAAAAGGCTTTTTAGGCTTGAGACCACTTCATATTCCTCTTTGAGGGTTCAGATGTTAATATATTGTCAATGTTGTCCTCTTCTGAATTTGTGTTTTGATCTTCCCTGTCACTATAACAATTATTTATGGTCAGCGTTTCTCTTTGTTGCTTTTTTTTTTCATGGTGTTTTCATTTTTCCTGGCTTTGAAAGTTGATCTCTACTTCTGGGGCAGAGGGGGCACTGTCTCACACTTCTTGTGCTGAGGGATAGGGGCCTGGTTACTGGCTTTGTGTGCTATGCCTCAGGTGCTGATGGATGAATGCTGTAAGGGTCCAGTAGCTTACCTGGTGCTGAGCTGGGGCTGGTGTTGGTGGCTGGTGTGTGCCAAGGCCAGGTGGGGTTTTTCTGCTTTTGCCTGGAGTTTCACTGAAGTTTGCAGGGTGGGGGATAGGGATGTTCTGCCCACTGGAGGTTGCTGTGCTAGAGCACAGGTAGGTTCAGCTGCTGGTGGATAGCTGTTCACCTATGCATGTGGCAGATTCTCCAGACTGAAATCTGCTGGTTTCCCTGGCTGTACCAAGGCACACAGTGGCAGGGAGGGGCGAGGTGTCTTGGTGTTGGCACTTGCTTGCTCCTGGGGCTCAGGATCTCCTGTGGGATTGTTGAGATGTGGCTTGCTGCTGGGTTACTAGAATGCTTGTACTGGTCCCCTTCAACCACAGAAAGAGGGGCCTTTCCCATTAATCCCCCAAGACTTCCAAGCTAAAAGACTGCTGCACCCCATCTTTCTGCTGGCTCCACTGTTCCTGGATGTTTCCTTGGGTGATATTTTCCGGGTTTTTCAAGGTCAATAAGGGAAAGTGAGAGAGACTCGTTACTCTGCCATCTTGGCTCCCAGAATCTTTCTTCCTTTCTCTCTCTCTCTCTCTCTCTCTCTCTCTCTCTCTCTCTCTCTCTCTCTCTCTCTCTCTCTCTCTCTCATATTCTTTCTTCCTTCCTTCCTCTCCCTTCCCTCCTCTAGAAGAGTCTTTAAGGGGAAAGCAGAGGGAGAAGTTAGGATGCTAAGCTCTATTGTTCCTACTTGGAAAAGGATTTTGAGTGCTGTCAGTCCCATCTATAGTCAATACCTTTGGGCAAAAACCCTATCACTCTACCCTTGTTGTCATTCTAAAAATGATAGTCATATAAGTGGGAAGCTCAACAATGCCTGTGTGTGAAAGCAAGAACCCCAACCATATATTATACATGCATCATACCATACATACAATGTAACCTGGTTGGAGTCTTGATAAGCATGGCAGGTGAGAAGAAAGTGGACCTCCTGTCATAGTTCAGGATTTATGAACCCTTGAGCTAGCCTTGACAGAGTTGTACAAGTTATGGTTGGGCCCACATTTCTCAGAGTGATTAAATAACCAGAGTTGTCAAGAGAAACAGATTTTATTTCAAAATTTTCCTGCAGCTAAAAGAGAATGTCTCTGGGAAATGTATTAATGGCCCCTCTCCTAGAAACAATATCTGAATACATTTTTTCAATTCATAAATCAAGTTACAATCATAAGACACTTTCTGGGCAAAAGTGGGCAAGAATACTTCTCTTGAAGGTCATACAACAGGGAAGGGTTGAGGCCAGACATGAGCAGAAAGGAATCAAAAAAGTCAGCATTCACCAAAATGGACTGGCTGAACTGGTTTTGTGGAATTTCTAAGGAATAAGAGACAAGAAGGAAGGTAAATACAATGGTATAATTTTAAGTTTTAAACATTTCTTACCTCAATGCTGATGTCATGCTCCCACCTAGTTTCCAAACTGAGGGAAGACATAGGACCATGGGACCATAAAAATCAGAGTTAAAACTAAAAGGTGATTTAAAGAAGGAAGGAAGGAAGGAAGGAAGGAAGGAAGGAAGGAAGGAAGGAAGGAAGGAAGGAAGGAAGGAAGGAAAAGAGAGAGGAACAGGCAGAAAAAGAAAGGAGAGAAAAGAAGAGAGAAGGAGAAAAAGAAAGAAAGAAAGAAAGAAAGAAAGAAAGAAAGAAAGAAAGAAAGAAAGAAAGAAAGAAAGAAAGAAAGAAAGAAAGGGAGAAAGAAAGAAATACATAACTGTTGGAGCTAAACAATAGTGCAACTTACTGCCTTAGATGATAGTGAACTCTCCACTTAAAGAAAATGCCAAGAGCTTCCATTATGAATAAGTGACAGATAAAAGAGGGCCTTTTCAACTGCTAATATTCTACATTCTGATATTCCATGTTCTCAGGCCCCTCATAACTCTAATATTCTGTAACTGAATAATAGCAATAAGGTCAAGAATTTGAAAATCTGGTGTAAAAAATCCTCTCCCCGAGGATAAGAAAATTAGTTTGGTTTTAGACATATTTAATTGAACACAGTGGTCTCCAACTTTTTTTTTAATCAAGCACCCTATCAGTAAAAATAACATTGAGTATACAAGTCAGATATACATTGTTTTTAATTTGCTCATTTATAATTAATTTGCTACTACATAGTAGTACTGCACTAACAATTGCATATACCATGAAATAAGTATAATCAATTGTTAGTGCAGTTGTACTATATATGTTTAAAAGTACATGTTTAAAAAGGTGGAATGAAGATGAAGTAATATTTTATCCTAGCAGCCATAGAGAGCCTCTGTAGTTTATTGAGGATAGGACTGATGGTGTCAAGCTTGTCCTGTAGGAAAATCACTTATGCAGGGGTACAGAGGATGAAGTAGGGAGGGGAGAGACTAGAAACAAAATGGAAGGCTACAGTATTATCACTCAAGCTTTCTCAAGAAATCATGAAAATCAAAGTCAATATCTTTTTTTTTAGGCAATTGGGGTGAAGTGACTTGCCCAGGGTCACACAGCTAGTAAGTGTCAAGTGTTTGGTCTGAGGCCAAATTTGAACTCAGGTCCTCCTGACTTCGGGAGCCAGTACTCTATCCACTACACCACCTAGCTGCCCCAATGTAAAAACAATTTTTACTTTATTTCTTTCACATTTTGAGTTCCAAATCATCTCCCTCTCTCTCTTGCTTCTGCCAACACTGAGAAGCAATTTGACATAGGTTATACATGTATAATGATGCAAAAATACATTTCCATGTAGGCCTTGCTCTGAAAGAAAACACAGACATGAATAAAAACAAAAACATAAAGTAAAAGTATCTTTGATCTGCATTCAGACTACATCAGTTATTTTTCTGGAGGTGGACAGCATTTTCCAACATAAGTCTTTCAGAATTGTCTTAGATTGCTGTTGTGTTGAGCTGATTCTCATTTTTTAACGTCAATAGTTTGGTTTAATAAGTCAGATTGTTGCAGTCTCACCTGCATATTCTATCTCAATCCTTCATTTTAATTTGGTATTAATTTTGATCATTGCTTTAAATAGTTAAAGGTTGAAGGTGAAGGATAAATAGTTAAAGGATGAATCCCTTATGCATATTTCATTATTTTTATTAAGATTTACTATAAATATGCAAAATCTTTATGAAGATGAATCTATATGTGTATTGAGGGCATCCTTATTGTTAAAAAAATATATGCAGATATTTTCAATGGGAAAAATTGTTTGGAGCAGATCACATCTCCGCAGTCACAAAACTGACTACAAGGTATACACACAAATGTATTTCTTGTCTGTTGATTATAAAGAACATTCACTTTAATAAGTTTATCAAGAATTGGCCTCTCTTCTAAGTTAAGGGGTTGCAATAGAGAATGCATTTGTGATTTTATTGGGACAAGAAACCTCTGGAAGAGGAAACTCCCTCAACCAATGCAGGTCATCAGCTTGTCTATAACTTGTAGTCTCACAAAGTTACCTAGAGCACTAAGGGGTTAAGTGACTTGCCCAGTCACAGAGCCAGTAAGTGTCAAGAAATGAGGCTTGAACTCAGGTTTTCCTGGATCTTAGACCAGATCTCTGTCCACTATGTCTCACTGTTTTCTTCACAAGATCATGAGATTTAGAGCTAGAGGAAATCTTGGTGATGCTCTGAACACCTCATTTTACAGATGAGGAAACTAATCCCCATTGAGAATGGACTTGTTCAATATCTTCCCGTCTTCCCAACTCAAAATCTTGGGCTCTTTCTACTACACCAAACTGCCTCCACACACAGCAAGTACTCAACCCACTGCACACAGTAGGAAACTAAGAAATGTTGATTGTATAAATATTGAAATTAAATGTCCAAGTATAAGTCTGATATCACTGAGACATTATTTTTTTCAGAGAATAGCCAGAGTCTGGTTCTTTGATCTTTTTTTGTAACCTGGAAAATCAGTAAAATTCCATTCCTGTGTCTTACTTTCCAAAAATTCTTTAAATCATAGGAAATCTGATTCTCTCACCGTGTTTTTAGGCAGAATGTACATTGGTTCCCATAAGTCTTCTTATTAGATGCACATACTGGATCAATTGCATGTATACAATACATCTTGATTCTCTCAATTTGAAGATAAAATGCGCTTAATAACCAAGTACATTTAATCTGTAAAAGTAATTTTAAAATAAGAATTTAAATCAGATAGCAAGTCCTATAGCCATGGATTAGGCTTATCAGACCAACAGCATTAATGATGATTACTCTCCTAGGATTCAATGCCACCCATAGGCAAAGAAAGGCTGAGATCTTCCAGGCTTCAGCCTCTAATTGACTAGAATTCAGGCCCTAGACCTGAGTTTCCAAATCATGAACTTCCTCCACCCTGCCCTTAACTAAGGTTTACGTAATCATGACTGCATCCTACTGAACAAGCTTACCATTCTTATCATGCTAAACCTCTATAGTATAATTGACTCTGAAAGATAGGAGAGCCTCACAGAGGATGTAATGCAATCCATAATTAAGAAAGGCACCCACCACAAAATGTATGACAAATTGTAATTCATCCTTCATTTGGTTGTTGAAACTGATGAGGAAACTCCAAATTCTCCAAGGAGCTTATTCCACTTTGGGAAAGGCTAGTTATTAGAAAGTTAGTTTTTCCTCATACCAAGCCTAGATTTTCTTCCCCATAGATATGATCCACTAATTTTAGTGTGATACTCTGGGGACTCATGAAAAAGAAGAATCATAGAATAATAAAATCTCAGAGTAGAAAGGAAGTTCAGAGGGCACGTAGTCCAATTCATATCTCAGTAGGAAACCCCTCTTCAACAAACCTGACCAGTGAAAATCCAATCTCACATTGAAGATCTCTGATCCTTTTGTAAAATGTCCCTTTCATATGATATTCCTTAAAATACTGAAAGTCAAAAATTATCCCCATCTAATCTCCATCACCTCCAACCAAGTCATCCATTCCCCAGTTCCCCAATTCAAACCATTTCATCAACCAATCAGCCTATGACATGGTTTCCAATTCCAGTCAGAATCCTGTTCCTCAAATCCTAAATATATTTTAGATACCAATGCCCATCTAAAATTATAGAATTCATATCTGGATATAATATTCCAGATATGATCTCAAAAGGGTAGGGAAAGGTATGAAAATTACCAGTCTTACTTCTTACGGAACCAAAGATCACAATAGCTTTGAGGACTGGATCACTTTGGTGATACATAGTATATCACTAACTCATCTGAAACTTTTCATTCACTAAAACTGTCAGGTATCTTGAACACAAGCTGCTTCCAAACCATACTTTCTACATCCAGTACTTGTAAATTGATTCATTTTACCCATAATATAGACTTTACATGCATCACTATTCAATTTTATTTTATTAATTTCACCTCATTATTCTGGCTTGTTGAGCTCTTTAAGGACCACCACCACCACCACTATCATTATCATCAATGATAGGGGTCAGCATGTTATGGCTAGAACATCATTTGGCCACTTCATTCTTTTCATATAGCCTTAGCACTCAGCCACATAAAACAGGTGGCAGCCAAATTTGGCTGACAGAACATATTTGTTGACTCCTGATTAATACCCATAATGACTTACTTAACACAGAAATTTAAGATTTACAAAACACTTTATGTGGAACAGTCCTTTGAGTCTGATAACATAGATACTATTCACCCAATTCATATAGGCCTAGTTTGCAAAGTCACAGGGCTATTAAACATCAATTTGAGAATTGAAACTCAAACACAATCATCTGAGTCAAAGTCTAAAATTCTTTCCACAGTACCATAGTGCTCATCTAGAATGCTAGCCATCATTCCCTGTTTCATATCACCCTTGAATATGACATTCACAATAGATATGCCTCCATCCAAAGCACTGATAAAAATAGTGAACATCATAAGGCATGGGGAAGTCCTGAAGTACACATTTAGGGACTTCTCTAAAGGTGAATATTAATCCATCAATCACTACCCCTTAGGTTCAGTGATTCGACCCTTTCTGAATTTACCTAAAACAACTATAAACTAGCACATTCTATTTTTGTCCATAAGGATATTAAGAATCCAGTTATAGTACGCTTATGACATTCCTTTGCAATTCAGTTCTAGGAATCCTGTTGGAAAAAGAAATGAAGTTAGTGTTATTTGACTTATTCTTGCTTAATCCATGCTGACTTGTAGTCATCACTGATTCCCTGGGCAAGTGCTCACCAACCATCCCTTTGATAATACATAATAGTGAAATTAGAAATTATTGACACTAATATTCATCCAATCTGACATCTAACTCACGTTCATTTGCTATAGAACACACAGAGATAGAAAGCTCTTCTCACAGAGTGTGTTCTAAAGCTCTATTTTACCCCATAACAACAAATTAGATGCTTTAAAATGTGGAATAAAAGCGATTTGGCTAATGTTCCCTCATGCTTTACCTCATTCATTCAATACATAGCCATTAAGAGCTGTGATGGCTTTATAACATGGAGTTAGTTAGTTCACACAATTCCCACAGTTCTCTAAGAGCCCAGTTGCTATGTGCCAGGCCCAATACTAAGTACGCAGGGAGATAACACAGAAAAATAACCTGTAGTCTTAAAATCAAAAACCACTGGGATCTGGAAAAGAACCTTAGAACACAGAACACAAAATATTGGAGTAAGAAGAGACCTTAGAAATATAATAAAAGATTGAGGGTTGAAGGTGATCTTAGACATTATCCAGCCCAATTCCCTCCTTTTACAAATGGATAAATGGAGGCCTTAAGAGAGGATGGGATTTTCCCAGCATCACTCAGGGAGTCAGAAGATCTGGTACCAGAAAGGTCTCCTAACTTCCAAACCGATGATCTTTCCATTACACCACACTGCCCTCATGAGGCTCACAACATAATGAGGGAACTGAGACACCTACACCAATAGTTACCAGACAAAGTAGAGTGTTGCACACACAAGTGAAGTACAAACAAAGAAGTACTGGTTTCTCCCTTCAGATTTAGGTTCCATCAAGTTGACATTGAAGCAGTGTGATATCATGGAAGGAACACTGGGATTGGTTTCAGAGAACTTGGGTTTGCATTCTAGTGTTGTGACTTACCTCTATATGACCATGACCAAGTCCCTGAATGTATATGGGCCTCAGTTTCCTCAGCTTTAAAATGGGAATGTTAAACCTGGTTGCCCCTAAACTTCTTTTCAGCTATAGACCATATGATCTAAAATGAAAATTTGGCCTAAAATCCAATCTGTACATTTCTTACCTTTATTTTTGGTTTAGGTTTTTTCCCACTTAAAACATCTGCAATCAGAGGATAGAAGGGTATATTAAAGCACTTAATCTTTGATAGAGAATGTTATCAGGTTTCGGTAGAATAAGACAACACCTTCTTATTATGCAGGCCCTAGCAGAAATCCATAGAGTGTTCCTAACCATGTGGTACTTGAGGTCTAGGTATTCACAAAACAGCCTCATATTGATTAGATAGGCTCATTTAAGCCCAAGAAATCATCAGATGTTTTTTGCTAGGATGATGTCAATGCTCAGGACCCCTGCCCTATTAGAATACAAGCTCTTTGGGGGCAGGGCTATGTTTAATCTTTGTACCCCTAGGGCCTTGCACTGCCCTGGCACTTAAGAGGTATTTGCTATATGCCTGTTTCTGAAGAACAGTAATTATGTGCCCAGAGACAAGTCACTTAACCCTTCTCAGTGCTTCAGGCATCTCTCTAAATCTGCGGGATAGAAATGAGTTGCATATGAGTATCACTGGAGGGGATTTATACATATAGAAAATCAATGAAATCAAACTATTGGACTAAAAAATGTACTTTTAATGTATTAGTCTGAACTTATCTAAACTATTTATATATAAATAGCATATAAATTATACATTTATATAGAAATAAATAAAAATGAATATATAAATATTTATAAATATGAAAAACATTTATCTAAAATAAAAATTTATCTAAATCCCCACTAAAAAGAAAATACCAGGAGGTCAGGGACAATGATTTCTATAAACTCTTCATCCTCCCCATCTCAAAGCACCAATTACTGCCTAGAGGAGATGTTTAATAAAGATTGGATGGAATTGAATGGCGGACAGCACAATTCTTCAGTTTGGGGTTATCATTACATTCACACACATTTCATATTACTACTAGCATAGAAACAAATCTTTTCCTAGTGTGTGCTTGGGGTCCCAATACTGACAGCTGCAACCCAGGCACTGTTTTCTTCCTACAGTTTCTGGCAAATCAGAGGTTTTCCACCTGTGACTAACAATATTGCTCACCTGAGAAACCAGACAATGCCATGATGAAGAGACCCAAAAAAGCCTTATTCAATAACAGGGAAAAGGCCATATTTTCTCTCCAGAATGTCGTGCTCCTGTGCAATTTCCCTTTCTTCCTCACCTCCTGGGCTCCCCATCGTATGATATTAAAATTATCCCTCAGGTGGTAAAATGTTCTTTAGTATTGGTGGACATGGCACATTAAGTACAAGTTACTGAAGACTGTAACAACATGTACGAAACATGTTGTCCCTGTCAAAAGCCAAAGAAAAGAATTGAATGAACTACTTATGAATTGTGAACCCAGTTCTAAACTACACAGAATAATGGCATAGTCAGTGCAAAAGAAGCCACAAAACCCAGAAAAAGGACAATGCAGAATTTGGAACACTAGCAGAAGGCATCATATGTTAACAGGCTGTTGGCCAAAAGTCAATGTGGCCTGAGAGCAATTGTTTAATCCTGATAGGTTGTCCAGTTGGTTATTAGCCACCCATCAGCTGCAGACTGAAGGTAAGTCTCCAGGGTGTACTGAGAAATACCTGATAGGGAGAAGCTGTTCCATGAAGACAGGGCAGTCTGCTTCTTAGGCTCCACTGGCTTTCCCCCACATAGAGGACAGTCCTACCTGATTGTGCAAATGCTTTGGTGTTAGAGTGACTGGGAACAATATCACAAAGTAGATGTGGGCCAAGTATCAACCACATGACTCCATCTCCACTGTATTCAATGGAAGTCTAGAATGGAGAATGAGGAGAGTAGGGGCTCTGCACTCTTCTGCCCTCATCAGACCATTTCTGAAGTGTCCTACTCACTTTTAGGAAAGTCTTTGCTGAGCTGAGGAGCATGCAGAGGAGGCAACTGGGATGGTGAAGGGCCTGGAGGTCATCTCATAGGAGGGTCATGTGAATGGTCCAAGGGATGTTTAGCTTAGAAAACAGAATGTTGATGGGCATGGTAATCTCATCAAAGTGACTGAAGGGCATTATAGGATAAAGGAATTAAGCTTCTTCTGCTTGTCCCCACAAGGTTGAAGTCAGACCAATGGGTAGTAATTTCTAAGAGGCAGAATTTTGTACTAGACTCAAGAACTTCATTAAAAAAAATTACTATTAGCTTACAGTAAAATGGTTTGCCACGTGAGGCAGTGAACTTCTTGCAAAGTGTTCATGCAAAGTCAGGAAGACTACTTCTTGGTGCTGTAATACAATGGACATCCATCTCGGGCAAAGTTCTGGAACATATAATTGTTAAAGGCCCTTCTAACTCTGAGGCTTTTAGAGTCTGTTTCTATTGCTTTTTCATTCTTGAGTCTGTCTCTGTCTTTCTCTGTTTCTGTCTATCTCTATCTCTCTCCTTTACTGTCTGGCTCTATCTCTGTCTTTCTATCTCTTTCAATCTGACTTTGTCCCTCTGTGTGTGTGTGTGTGTGTCTGTCTGTCTGTCTATCTTTATCTCTGTGTTGCTCACCTTCTTTCTCTCTTTCTCTCTCTCTCTCACTTTCTTTTCTATCTACAAATTAGAGAAACAAGACTTTTCTTTCCCATTAAAATGGGAGATTCTCAGGGTGCCTAGGTGGCGCAGTGGATAGCGCACTGGCTCTGGATTCAGGAGGACCTGCGTTCAAATCCAACCTCAAACACATAACACTTACTAGCTGTGTGACCCTGGGCAACTCACTTAACCATATTGCCTAGCAAAAAGGCAAAAAACAAACAAAAAAAAAACAAAAAAAAATTTTAAAAATGTGAAATTCTCAATGTTTCAAAAATGGAAGACTGTTCTGGCCAGGATTATCAAATAAAAAGTTTCTATCTGTACTGTCAATTACTCTACTAGTTTTTGATTCTCCAATTCAGATTGACACTAGTTTATTTGTAGTCTTTTTGAGACATAACTCCTTTTCCCTTTAAGAGACTATAGCTACAAAATGATTAAATTAATTCAACCTTAGAAACTAGATTGGCTGACCAGTAAGATTTTAGAAAACATCTCATCTAATCCCTTTATTATACAGTAAAGAAACTGAGCATTAAAGTGATGGCATGACTTTCCCAAGATCAAAACCTCATGGTAGAACTAATGCTAGAATAGGGGCCTCTTAGAATCAGCCTGGTACAGAGGAATCTGTTTTGGACATTGAGTCAGAGGACCTGGATTTGAAAACTTTGTTCATCTTTCTGACACTCAATTCACTTATCTGTAAAATGGAGTTCAACTCAAAAATGACCTCTGAGAGCCCTCTTAGCTCCAAATCTGTGATCACTTTCCAAGTATTAGAGCAGTGCAACAATGGACTCTATTGTGATGCATAAAGTCTCCAATCTCTGAAAGTGTTCAATTGGATATCCACTTGTTAGAGATGTCATAAAGAAAATTCATGTTTCATGTAGGGGTTGGACTAGACAATGGCTTAATAATCATAACAGCTTAAATAGGATCACATATTTAGAGCTAGATGAGACCTTGGAAATCACAGATTCTTATCCACTTGTTTTACAAATGAGAAAACTGAGACCCATTGTTATTAAGTGATGTTCCCAGAGTGACACATCTACTAAGTGTCTGAGGCAGGAGTTGAACCCAGGTCTTCTTGAATTTAATTCAACTACTCTACCCATTATAGCATGTTGTCACATTTTTATGGAAATTAGGGTTCAAAGCATGCTGCCCTTACAGCTATCCTCTGAGGTAAGTGATGCCTAATGTATTATTCCTCTGGTGAAAACATAAGAACCAAAGCTTCAGAGAAAGGGATTTTTGTCCAAGGTTCCCTTTGAAGACTCAACGAACCAGCAATATATTATTCTCACAAGGTAACTTCTCACTTTCCTTCAGAAAGTATTGACTAAGGTAAACAAGTCAGTCATTCCTGAAGCCCCAGAAATAAGGGGTGGTTGTCAACAGATGTTCTGTTGTAAGGTCTCCAGGGCTTCACAGCCTGCATCAAGATGAAAATTGGAAGCCCATTGGAAATGCCAGATAATGTTTATTATAGAACACAAAAGTTCAAGGCTTGCTACCCAGAACCCATATACGCTAGTTTCGGTAAAGACAGGACTAGAAAATGCATTAGCTTGAGATTCCAGAGACCTGGGATTTATCCCTGACATAAACACAGATTTGCTGTGTGATCTAGTGCAAATCATTTTCTTTCTCCAAGTCTCAGTTTCATCCTCTGTAAAAACTAAATATTTTGTCCTATATTCAGAGAAAATTAGGAAATGAAGAGACCAGAAAAGTCTAACTCCATTTATTTCTGACTTCATTTCTTTTCAACAAGCAATCACCCCACCACCTCTTGAAGACTTCCATTTAGATACCAGTACTTGCCAAGGCAGCACATTCCACTTTTGAACACCTTAATGGCAGAGTTTTTCTTGACATTAAGCCAATTTTTTTCTCTCCACAACTTCTAGCAATTGCTACTAATTCTAACCTCTGAAGAAGGTGATAGAAAATTGGAATATCTAATCCCTCTTCCATATGATAGCATTTCAAATATTTGACCATGTCTACATGAACCAAGTCTTCTCTTCTCCAGATCAAGTTCCTTCAACCAGTTCTAATATATCATTGTCTTTGGTCCCCTAATGTAGGGGAAACTGAGGAGATTCTTCCCAGCCCCCAAGGAGATCCTACCCAGCCCCCTGTGTAACCACTTCAAGGCCTGACACAAAGATAAATTGGAGTTACCATGCATGGTGAGACCAAGGAGACTGGAACATTAAGTAACAAACTATGTTATCCGGGAAAGCAATTCATCTCAAGGAACATTTTTCTTGAGAAAAGAGTGCAACTGTCCAAGGAACTAATCACTCCTTGGAGATTTACACTACAAACAGGTATTTGGACTTCTGATCAAGCCCCAACCTTTGTTAAGATGTGTGCGTGCCCTGGACCTAAGTGCTCACCAAGGATATGTACACAAAACAAAACATCAAGATTGTTTTTCCCTGGTTTACATAGATATAAAAGGGGTCATTAGGAAAGGGATTTTTGGAGTACTTTGACTTCAGAGATAGGGATGCTGTATCTCTGTTGACCAGGGGCGGATTGCGTGCACAGCCTCTGTTGAGTCAGAGGGGGACACGGCTCTGTTGCCTCCTTGACCATACCTCTTCACCATTCTTCAGTCTCTCCAGTCCAGTAGGTATGAGCTCACCTGGTCAGTGAGTGTGTATGCTTTCTTTTCTTATTCCCCCTTTTCTTTATTTTGATTATTACTTATATTGAATGTTATTCTCATCTTTATTTGTGTGTGGTTTGCCTTAATCACTATTAATCATTGTAAAATAAATGTGATCATTTGTTAAGATTATGCCGAGCGTGTGTCATTCCATCTTGAGATCCGAACCGAAAGTGAAAGTACCGCGCAGTCCACAATCCTTTTGATTACACCTAACCACCCCAGTGATGCTCCAGCGCCTTGGCCCATTCTAACTCGCTAATACTCTTCTTACAACATGGCACCAAGAATCAAATCGAGCATTCTAGATGTGATCTGATGGAGACAGAGGACAGCAGGAGCATCATGCTTCTTTCACCATTTTGGGTACTATCAATGGGCTAATGTCCTGATAATTCCTTTGACTGCCAAGTCAGTTGTCATGGCAGCTGAGGCAAGTGGATGTTTCAGCGGATAGTGTTTGGGGTCTGCAGCTAGGAAGACCTAAGTTCAAATCTGGCCTGAGATGCCTGCTGTGTAACCCTGAGCAAGTCACTTCATCTCTATCTGTGTCAGTTTACTCAACTGTGATATGGGGATAACAAGAGCACCTACCTCACAAGGTTGCTGTGAAGATCAAATGAGATAGGAAGTGCTTAGTACAGTGCCCAGCTCATAGTGGGTGCTGTGTAAATGCTTATTCCTCTCCCCTTTCCCAGTGTCACACTATGGTCTTGTGCTGGACTTGTTCTTCAGTCATCTTTGACTTGTCATGACCTCATTTGGAGTTCTCTTGGCAAAGACACTGGAGTGGTTTGTCATTTCCTTCTCCAGCTCATTTTAAAGATGAGGACTGAGGCTAACAAGGTTAAGTGACTTGCCCAGGATCCACACACCTAATAAAATGTCTGAGGACCGATTTGAACTCAGGAAGCTAAGTCTTCCTGACTCCAAGATTAGCACTCTCTCCACTACACCACCTAGCTACCTTGTGCCACTTAGCTGCCCATATTGAACTTATAATCCAATAAAAGTGACGTATATCTTTCATATAATTTTTTTTTGTTTAGTCACACCTCCTCTATCCTCTGGTTAGGCAGTTAATTTTTAGAATCCAAATAAAAGATTTAAATCAGCTGTATTAAGTTTTTGAGATTTGGAGACTGGGGGGGGGAGGTGGGAGGTGGGAGGAAAAGAGGTCTTGACACTATTATCCAATATGTTAACTATTGATTCCCCCCATCTACTTTGGCATCTGTAGATTTAGTACCATGATATTTGCCTTCATCCAAGGGACCAATAAAAGTGTTGAGTATGGCCAAAAATAAATCTCTAGGGTACTTTTTTAGAGCCCTCCTTCCAGGTAGATATTGATCAATTAATGACTGAACTCTATAAGTACAGTCACTCAAATCATTCTTTTCCCCCTAACTCTATAATCATCTAGCCCTCATGTCTACATCCCATTTATAGAGATAGCAGAAAACATTTTGACAAATGGTTAGCTAAATCTCAAGTATACTAAATATGGCATTCTCACCTTCCACTTGAATATTCTTATCAAAAAAGAAAAAGGAAATGAGATGAGAGAAATGCAAATTAAAACACCTCTGAAGTTTTATCTTCCACCCTGCAAATTGGTGAAGATGACAATGAAAAGTCAATGTTGAAGAGATTGTCTGAAGCCAAGAACACTAATACAATGAGATACAACAAGGATTTATAAACTTTATAAACCTTAGAGTGTTATAGAAAAGTGAGCTATGACCATGTAGGTGGGAGGAATTAGAAGAATACACCCAGGATTTAGAGAAGATAGGAAGCTGGATCTAGTTATTATAATTTGAAAATAGGGTCTGGTTTTAACAAGTCAACACATCAATTTAAGAGACAATGTGGTATAATGGAAATTAATTGCTCAAGGAACACTGGACCTAGAGAGTCAGAAGTCCTGAGTTCAGATTTTGCCTGTGTTACTTACTGGCTATTTGGCCTTAGACAAATCAGAGAATTTAGAACCACAAGGAACATGCAGTCCAACCACCTCGTTCTAAAGATGAAGAAAC